CCCCAAAACCCCAAAACCCCAAAACCCCAAATATATTTATTGTAATTGAGAATCATGATCTATATAATTTTTATTATTCCAAACTGCTGATAAATGAGAAGGAAATTATCTCAAAAGCGGCACTCGCTTGGTAACCCAATGGAAACTATTGAATCTATGAGAACAACTCTGAAGAAAAGATCAATGAAAAGAATTAAAGGTAAAATTCGGAAGGACTTAGACAAAATGTGCGATTTAATATAATATTAACTCAAAGACAGTCTGCACAGCAAGAGTTTTCTTCGCATCCTATTATTGGAATGAATGATGATGGATCAATGATTGAACTTGAAAATCCTGAAACTGAGCGATTCAATGTGTTTGAAACACTTTCTACAAAATCTTTAGGCCAAAATCAACCGAAGAAAAAGAGGCTACATTCAAGAAGAAGCTCTGATTTCAAATAGCAATATGAATAAACTTATTAAAGATCCTTCTCTCAAACAAAAGTCAAATAATTACATCTTAAATATTCAAAGACCAGCTACAGCAATTGAGACTGCAAAAGAAGCACAGAAAGTAATTAGTCCAAGATTCACGAAGACTGATTCTAAATAAACCTTTCCTAAAAGAGAGCAACTTTATAGGAGTCGATAAGACAAATGAAATAAACATTATTCCTGAAACTCCTAGTCAGCCCTTAATAACAATTGGAGAGTTAGACCAAGCCAAAGCAAGGCCCAAAACTAGCCGTAAAAAGGCCAATGGAAGACAAACTAGTGGCCCAAACCTCAACACAGACTTAAATGAAATCCAAGATTTCTACTTCCAAGAGTCCTCTCAGTCCAAATAAGTCTACAAAATCAGCCAAGAGAAGGAAATTTAAAGAGAAGAAAGAAGATATTCAGAAGATATTTAACAAATTAGCAAGCATTGCCAGAGAAAACTTAAGGCAGATCACACAGAATGATAATCCTAGCTCACGAGAACTCCTAACCACCTTTAAAGGCATTGAAGTTCTTAGTGGGACTAAGGAAGTTGACGGAGAAAGAATTCCAGGTTCGGTGAACTGCTAACTAATTCTAGATGAGAGCATCAAGATGAACAAGTATTACAAAGTTGCTCCTAAGATTGGAGATTTTGAGAATTCACTCAAACGACAACCTAAAATTCCACTCAAGTCTGGAAGTTTATCCCAAAGACCCCCGATTATTTTCACGAGAGGGAAGATAAAATAAGAAAAACACCCAGTAAGTTAGGTTATTTATCCTTATTCTTCTAACCCTGACCAAGCCTACTGAAGTAATTCATTATCAAATAGGGAAGTATACATCAATAATTGGAAGATCAATAAAAGCAGAGCAAAGAATCTAAAAGGAGCAAATTCAAAGGTAGTTTTTACCAAACACACAATGGCAATTGGAGATACTCAGCATCTATTACGCGACTGTTTCGAGAAAAGACTTAAATCTGCTCAAACTATGCGGACTCCTAACAGGAAGAGAAGACAAGCTTCTGCAATTAGTGCCAGTATAGGGCGACTAACTCAAAGACCAGGGTCTCGCATCAAAGGGAGAATTCTGAAAGAAAAATATAAAAGAGAGCTTGTTATTGAAGAAGAGAAGAGGATCTCTGAGATGCAGAATACCATTAGTAAGCATAATAATAGTAGTTCTCGAATCCAGACTAATGCTGAAAGTCATAACAAATCTCCTTCAGTTAACACTCTTCAAAAGTCTGCAATAGGATCTTCGCAAAAGGAGCATATAGACTCTGTTCAGGATTTATTAGCTACATTAAAGAAATTTATAACAGGATCAAAACGAGAAACCCCAGATATTGCTAAAAAGATCAACCAGCTCTCTCGATTAGTCTCAGATAAAGATCTAAACCTAAACAGACTACTAGAAAACGCTGACTCAGAAATGCTTCAAATCTTCTGGTAAGTATTGAATCTCTAAAGATAAAATGCAAATCAAATTCTTGGGTGTACAAATTATTAACTTCCATGAGATTTATTACAAAACTTCAAATTTTCTTCAATTCATAAATTTCTAACAAACTTCATAGCCAGAGGACGGCTCATCTCAAGTTGCAGCCAGCTGAAATATACCAAAAACTTAAGAGCTACAAGGAAGATCGCCTTGTAGAGTTCTTCCAAAATTTAGAGCTTCTAGAACAATACATAAATGATGAAATGAAGGAAGAGAATTACCTCAAAATGCTCAAACTAGAACGAATTATTAACAAATATACGTCCAAATTCAAAATGAGCAAGAAACAAAGGAAAGCTTATTACCCATAATTCTGGCTGATCGGCTCGATCCAAGCATGTAAATATTTTCCTCTAGTTTGCTGTATGGACTTAGGGATTAAGTCTATGTAGAGCTTGAGAGAAGCTTGGGAAGGTGACTAAAGAGTCTGAAGGTAGATAGCTTCTAACCTCAATATTTGGATAGTGTAATGGGGTTTTGGGGTTTTGGGGTTTTGGGGTTTTGGGGTTTTGGGG